CCTTTTTACTGGAAAGGGGCATTCCATCTTAATCCTCAAGTGTGATAACACATCTGTATCTTAAATCTGAATCGAGGGTAAATGTAGATGTCTATGGGCCATAGTATTCATTTACCAACAGGTTGACTGAGTGCTGGTTTGTCACCCTTATTCTATGAAAAAATTGGCTAACTTTAGAATATTGATTTATCATAGCTGTAATATAGGATACTGTAATTTAGGAACGAGGCACCTACATAAGATAAGGATTAAAGACTTCCTATAATAGTTGAAATACCCTGTTCAATTAGTCTTTACATAAATAATAAAAATAATTCCTTGTCACGATGGCAAAGTTGCCGAAATTAAGTTAAAATTCGATAAAAATGCCAAGAAATTAATGCTGGTTACTATAAAAATAAATAACTGGTTACTATTAAAAAATGGCTGGTTACTATAAAAATAATAAATAAAGGTTTGTTACACATATTCTATAGAAAGTTCTATTAAAAAAAGCCTCGAAGATATAGTGGTATATAAATAAGAACATAGAAACGTTAAGTTGATTCCATACCACTTATTTTTAGAAAAAGGTTATCCAACTTAGCTTATTTGGAAGAGTTCAATGAATTGTTAATAATTTCTAATAAATTTCTATTTTAATTAAAATTATCATTGTGTTTTAAGCCACGCATCTTCCAAAGCGTTTATTAATATATATATATATATATATATATATATATATAAAAAAAAAAAAAAAAAAAAAAAGAACTACAAAAATAAAATACTGCATTACCCACCCAAACATAAGTAATTGATTTTCTATATTAATTACAACCATTGAAAGTCATTATAACAAAGTCAAAATTTTCAAAATATTTACAAAGGACATATTTAAAAGTTGCCTATTTTTAAAATCTTTCTACCCCTGTGTTCTCTACAAAATTTATCCCCTTAGTGTTAGTTTCATTTATTTATAATATAGATGTAACCAAGATTCTAATCATTCATATTTCAGACTTTGATTCAGAATTCTAATGTTGTCGACAGAACATTGCCTGAGGCACAACATAAATTTATTAACGCTTGAACATCATTAATGCCCTATCTTTCCTATATATAGGTGTCTACAAATTTTCTTGATTTCTGTTGGCCGGCCCAAGCGAATTTCTCGCATTTAATTAAATTATATTTCTGGTGTTTCACGAAGGGACAGATCTAGAAGGCACTAAACGTCGGAAATTAAAAATAAGCTATATGTAGTTACGTAAACTCGAGATCAATAAATACGCTATTGACGATTGGCAATTCTTGAAAGAAATACAGCATCTTGAAGGACAAAACGTTTAGAGTTATTTTTAGGGCAACCATTTGATTACATCTACGTAGTGATATTTTTTTATTGATTACAATTTTTTTTAAATATTCCACCATAACACTGCTCTACCGAAATGTACGTAAAGCTGAGCACAACAAAATACAATTAAGTACATATACCAAAGACAGCTTAATAATTTTCCCTAACAATTTTGTACGTCGCCCCCCACAGTCTACACGTGGGCGGTAGAACCGCACGCGTTCTGCCTAGCGCTTAGGGCTCGACAGGTGGGAGTGGCGTTATGACGTACCGTGACGTCACACGTAGGGTTGCCAAAACAATAAATCGAAAATGGTTCATCATATTATCCATTTTGGACATTTATTGTGGTGGTGGGATGAAATTATTGTACTTATTTGACAAATATTTTAAAAGCCCATTTCGGGCTTTTTATTTCAAACCGTTTTATTACTTAAAATAATGACCTGACGTGATATTAATTATTATGCTATTGTCATTTTCATTTAAATGAAACGAAAACTTTGATATATTATACTCCTTTGGATTAGGTTGTGTTCTATGGATACAATATCTTTGCTCATTTTACTAAACTTATCCAAAGTAATTTAGGATTATTGAAAGACACAGCTTTGTTAATTATTATACGGAAATATACTCGCATTAATAAAACTGATGATTAGCAACAGCGTTACCAGAGAAAAGTTATCAGTGGCTCACTCAACAACCCGCCGTCTCTCTGGTAGAGAGTATGGGCATCTTTTAAAATATGCGTTTATACATATTTTGAAAGATAATTGAATCCACTTCTATATATAGAAGTGAATTTAAAATGTTTATTAAGCTTCTTGAGTGAATTCAAAACACCAAAAAGAAGCGTCAAATACATATTACTAGCATCAGAAGTAGGTATCGATACTTCATTTGCATATAATTAACGAATAAAAGTAGCGATCATGTAGTTTTCGTTTTGTTCCTAATCCGAAAGCCAAAATCAATTATTTTGTATTATAACCTAAAATACTGAGTCATAGTAGTATGTAGGTACCATTTTGAAAGAAAATGATTACGACTTTAATTTGGTTTCATAAAAATATAAGTGGTGCTGACACCCCTGTAAGAAGTGCGTCTAGAAAGCTGTCCCGAGATTTACTCTAGAATTATGATTTAATTGAAGTTAATAAAGCCGATCAGGGCTAATTGAAATTTGTCTACGTAGAAAACCGAGCGTAAACTACAGTTTTATTAACCCTGTTCGACCCCGGTGGGATATTGTTCTATACTCAATAGTTAGTAATTACATTTAATTTGTGTACCTAGGGCAGACTAGAACCAATCCAAATTTCTTAACGATCCCATTTTTATTTTGTTATTATGTAATAATTTTGTCTTTTGTTTTTTATTACAAGTTCACTCCAAATGATAGACTTCCCTTAAGGACTGGCAGTGAGCAGGATCAGAGAATAAAACTATCATGTACACTACCGTGGTAGCTCAGATTGTTAGCGATCGCTGTACCAGCAACCCGGGTTTGATCTCCGCCGACACCAATGAAATTGATAATTGCAATTTTAAGTGGTGATTTACCACGTCCTCCGCGGTGTAGGAAAACATCTTGAGGAAACCTGCATTTCTGAGAAAACAAAAATATTTCGAAGACATGTGATGTTCGACAACACGCATTGGGGCAGCGCGGCAGACATTTCCTTGCCCTCTCAGAAATGACAGCAGACCTGTGCCCAGCGGAATGGGACGTACACAGGCTGTTATTTACTTTTTACTTCCATTTACTTTTAACATGTCCCAAAAAGTCGTTATTCCATGTAGTTGTTTCTTCTACGCGTACAATAGTCGAACGTATGTATCTTCATTTGTAGTATATTTTAGCATTATACTGGATGACCATCTGGAAAAAATAGGATGTAACATATAAACGGAGTAGAAGCCTATGGCACTGATATTTTACAAAAAATAAAAACAAAATTTTTGAATTAAACGTTTGAATTTTTTTTAACAATTTGCCCTTTGCCCTTGAGCCTGTGACCTTGCGAAGAAACAAAGTCAAAGATGCCTACTGAATTTATTTTTTTATTGCCGTTCGTAAAGTAGTGTGGATATGATTTAAATTTCGATAGATTTTAATTAATTTGTTTAATTAATTCAAAATTCTTGTTTTTATTTTTTGTAAAAATATCAGTGCCATAGACTTCTACTTCGTTAACGTCTACACACTATTTTTTTCAGACGGTAAAAAGGTCACAGTATTAAGCTTTATAAGTACTCCAAAACTTCGCTGGTGAAAGGACATCTTTTCGGCCTAGGAGCCCTACTACTACTACTACTACTACCACTACCAACACCACCACTACCACAGCTACCACCACCGCCACCACTACTACTACTACTACTACTACTACTACTACTACAAATACTCTCTCACCTACTGAGTAGGTACCACCCTATTACTGAAGCCAAATAAGGAGGATTAAGGTCAAGCACAGGCTTATCTTGGCGTTAGCAGTAAGTACTATTACAACCTTTGACGCTGTACCTGTCGATACGTATTATAAATCTGGCTAATACGAGATGTTTGATTCGATCTCTGAGGATTGGAAGAGGATTTAAGGTATTTCTGACATGGTTCTTGGGTAGCACCCTCAGGATGAAAAAAGGTGATGAATTATTACAATGATACTTCTGTTTGAACCTGTTGAATTCTGTTAATAACCTGTCTAAAGAGTCTGAAAAGCCGAGCCTAAGTGAGCAACCAGAGTTCAATTCCCGCTGGCACCATTAAAAGTGTCTATCGCAATTTACCACTTGCATGCATTTTTTTAATGAATAAGGGTGACAGATGAGCACACAGTCCATCTGATGATAAGTTAATCCTCAATTAAGAATCACAAAATGCAGATGCGTCGTGATCCCTGCGGACTGAGATGGAATGCCCCGATTCCATTGAAAAGTGTCTCTAAACTTACCATACGAAACATAGCAGAATTATGCTGCTATTTTACGCTGGTATTCTGTGGTCCTATCGAGCCGAACAATTCGTGCTACCACCATAATATAGCTGCAGCGTGGCTCTGCCACGTCGAAAATACTACAATCACAAAAAGTGTGATATATAATATACCACAGACACAAAAAGAGCGAGGTTCTAATCAAAGCAACAAACAGACCAAAGCGTCAGAGAAAAGCAAAGGATCAGTACCACATTGCCACCATTGTTAAACTTCCTTTGACTTCAAAATAATTACAGTGCCACCGGTTAGTACTTTGTATCAAGTCACCATATTCCATTCGTGCGTAACGATACACACTAGCGTTAAGTTGCTATTTTACGCTAGTATTCTGTGACAGCTTAGTTTCCCCGGACAGGCCGACACATTCCTGTTACAAACATAATGCAACGTGGCTCTACCACGTAATAATGCATGTCTGAGGAATTTAAAACACAAATATTTTTGGGACTTTGTAGATGGCGGGTATAATGTGTCGTCTGTCAAGAGGCATTGGGACTGCTAAATTTCCTATTCTACGAGTTACTTTAAGCTTATTGTTACTCTTCAAATAACTCTGGGTCAAAAACAAGCTATTCTAAAACCGTGAAAATGCTAAAAACAATAATTTACAGTAGAATTGGTAAATTATTGGTAATCTAATTCTAGATTTATTTTTACAGGAGGATCTGCTAATACACGGCGACAGTGTGTATGACGTGATCGATAAACAGGATCACCAGGCAGTGAGGTCCGAACTGTCACGAGCACCTACTGACGGAGAAGACAGAGTGTTCCTCTGCAGGATGAATGTGGCAAGGAACGCAAGGAGACAAATGAGGTTCGGCGATCAAAAAGTAAGATATATTTGTATATTTTACTGGTAATAATGTTGAGGAGTTAGTACGTCAATACATTTTTGCTTATAAGCATGATTATACTTTCCTTTTATAATACAGGGTTATTTTGTAATAACGTTCAAATTTGCTGAGAAGGTTCAGAATAAGTAATATAGGCATTTTTCTATATGGTGAAGAAAACTAAATTAATAAAGTCAAAAACATTCTGTCCTTTTTATCTTTTAAATTCAAAATATGTAGTAATGCATTATGATAACTGATTTTAGTCCGCACGCACAAATTTGTAATAGTCGATCGGTAGACAAAAAAGTTGTTGATCATAAATATCACATTAAATTTGAGATAATTTCGAATAAAAGTAGAAGCCTTATTGACTCGTATTTTGGAAAACTGCACTAATGGTATATCATTATTTATATCATCATCATTACAGCCCTTCACAAGTCCACTACTGAACATAAGCCTCCCCCAAGGTATGCCAAACAAAGCACACAAACACAACGCACGGTCCTGAGCCACCTGCATTCATCGACTTCCTGCATGTCTTACCAGGTCGTCACTCCATCTAGTGGGGGGTCGCTCTACCATAAAGTCGCCTATTATTAAATATATAGTTGAACTTCAATTTAAAATTTGGCTACTGTTCAAAAAATAATCCTGTATACTACTTTTATCCATAATTTACTCTATATGTGTGTAAAATTACCTTAAAACTGAATAACGTTTTGACATCTTAATAAAAGAAGCAAGTTTGAATTACATGATAAAGTCAAAGATTAATGTGGTATCTACTTCTTTTTTTAATAGACAGCCTGTAAATATCCACAAGTACGCATACCTCTCCCTTGTAGGGAATATCAAGTCAGATTGACGATCACATTACCAAGACGTCTTGTACCTTTGATGCTACTGGCCGTCACCTATTTTACATCTGGTGTAAACAAGATAGTGATACCACCTTCTATCAAATGACAAGATTTATCTGACTAGATTTTTCACTACGTGGTGCGTCTCCTTTTTTGCCTAGGAGTCCATCTGGGTAGGTCCCACCCCCTACTTATTTCTGCTGCTACATATAGTACGTGAAGGTAATATGGTCATCCGGTTAATATGATAACTCTAAAACTGCAGCCTTGTGTACATAGATTATTGATACGATAGATAGATCTTTATCAGTCAATCGAATAATAAAGGGTCAAAAGGGTGTTGCTTCATCGACGCCATTTTGACAATTGTTATTATAATAAATATTTTAGTCGATTTTAGTATGGTGTAGTGTAGTTAGTCTTTTTTTTAAGTTGACTTTTTGAAACGTTCATAATTATTGCCAAGGCTTGGTTGCTATTTTTTCTTAATATATTAGTTGTAGTATACAACTTTGTGTTTTTGTCTCTATCCTCCTCCTACTTTTGATTTTTTAGAGCGGCAAAGCTTAAGGTGACCATCTTACACTCATGTACCTTAGTAGTTGTGGAGCCAGCATAATAACAAATTCCATCTCAGTCCTCAGATAATGTATCTGTAGCTTTCTTTATTTGAAGGTGGACTGCGGCTCTAGATTCACTTCTGCCGCCACCACACATGTGTGTTTTACCCAATTATCTAAATATAATAATTAAATCCATCACTGTAAAAATATAAAGCGATCATATCTTCTAAAGATTCTCAAACATTCAAAATAATGTAAACGCAATTAAAAATATAAAACACTAATAACATGAGCACAAGATTGAAAGAGAATGACTATAATGATGGACGTGATAGAAAAAAAAAATTATCTACATAACACATCACGAGTGTAATATGGTGAAATGTACGAAACTATGGGCCATATTAATTGAATACAAAACGAGAAAATTAAGCGCGCACACACTTCGAAAGTTAATTAATGCGTTTAAAACATTCGACGGCAGACGAGCCGCTCCTTTATATAAAGCGTCCGCATGTTCTTTCATATTAAAATTGTAACGTCACTCATACGATGTAACGCGGGATTGAAATATTATAAATTTAGTTGATGAGAGCGCAATTAACAAGTTTACTTTCAAATCGTTTAAGTGTTCGTGAAATTGTTGCCAAGTGGGGATTATTGACGAGACTTGTTTGAATAAGGTCAAGAGGCTATACGTACTCGTTGTCTATGGAAGTCCCTATTTAGCCATCAAAATTCACCGTTGATTTATATTATTACTTTATTTGGTAAAAATAACGTTCCACGTTACGGCTTCATGGCGCGGTTACAACATTAAGTTTCGGCACTAAAGTTGAAGTCAAAGTCTAATATTTTTATTCAAAATTAGCTTTCATACTGCACTATTTGAAAGTCAAATGCTACGTCATCGCTTAACAAGTCGTTACTATGGGGAGACTTTATGAGAAGAAGCAACAAGAAATTCACAAATAGACTCTCCGAACAGTTACAAATTATCCTTAAAAAATATAAACATAAGTAAAAAAAAGGAAGCTCATTATGTCGACGCATCCTTATCGTTTAATAGTCATTTAATATTATAATATTCATTCATTATTAGAGTGCTTTTACATGTGCTTTGAATTTATGTAAAGGTAAATTTGATATAAATAAAGTTGTATATCTTTGCAAAAATGAGCCCTAACGACTTATTTTACTGAGTCTGTACTTTAGAACGGCACGTTTAGATTTAACGCGTGTGTTAAAATTATGGGCACTACTAATTTTGTCATAGGTATTAAAATAGTTCGTTATATAAGTAACTTTATCCAAAATGAATTGTAATGCAACAGGTACGACGTTTATTACTTTAGTGTTATTTTCTCTGAGTATTGTATGAGGGTCACGGTTTCAAATCCTACACAGTACATGTATATGTATGACCTGGCCTACAAATAATTTATAGTTGTCTGTATCTTTGTCTTTGTGCAATTAATGTATATTATCTGCCGTTATATAACAAGATAAGAAAGATGAGTTAAGAATATAAAACTGAAGTATTTATTTATTTCAAACGAAATTTTTCTTTTAAGTAATACATAACAATATTTTCAAAAACCTTTTTAAATGTGTATGAATTAATAATAATAATAATTACAATAATGCAGTTATACAAATAAAAAACTTAATGATAATTATAAAGAAGTAAAAAATAATTTACATCTTTATAATTATCATTTTGTTATAGCCGTGGTAGCTCAGGGGTTAAGTGATCGCTGTAAACTTTACAGAATGCGAGCAAACCGGGTTTGATCCCTACCTGCACAAATGATATTGATAATTGCATTCTTAAGTGCTGATATACCACGTGCTCGGCGGTGAAAGAAAACATCGTGAGGAAACCTGCATGTCTTAGAAATAAGAATAAAAAATATTTCGAAGACATGTGAAGTTGACCAACACGCATTAGGGCATCGCGGCAGACATTTCCTTGCCCTAACATTCTCAAAAATGAGAAGTGACCTGTCCCCAGGAGTGGGACATATATAGGCTGTAACTTTTAAAATATATTTTACTTATGTATATTCAATTAAGTCAAATTACAGATGCATTCTCACCTTTACGGACTTTATGAATTGCCTCTTTTCAGTAAAAAGGACCACCAGTTCTCTATACTCACCATATGAAATACAAATTAGAAAAAAGAAAGCTGCTGCTTTACGCTGGTAGTCTTTGTAGTGTGATTCTTCTTCGGTCAAACCGACCCAAAATAACCATAATATGACTGCAGCATGGCTCTACCAAATATAAAACGTATACAACAATAATAATATTAAAAAATATCGATTAATATCGACATAAAGTTGGCAATAGAGGTATTATATCGACATAAGTTAGATCTGACAACCCTATAACTTGATACCCATAAATTGATATGCCGCGATAGAGTAGAGTTATTACGAGTAATTGAATGCTCACGAGCAGGAAAGTGTTGAGTGCGAGGACCGGCCAGTTTTCTGTAATTATTTTCATACGGCCGTAAAATCATGTGATCAGCGATAATCAGCCTTATCGGATCGATCGGTCGAACTGAATATTAGCGTCATAACCAAAGCGCTAACACCTTGTTATGTGGCAACCCCTGTTGGTACAAATATTTAAGGCTTTATCACACTATGGGATTAATGCAATAAATATTATACATATAAATAAATATGTTATATGTCACCCTATTTAGTCTCATAGGTGTCATAAGAAACAATTGTACTTAATTATATATTAATTATGAGGAAGTCCGAAGATGAACTTCATTCTTCGATACCTAGAACGGCGAAGTCTACAGCAGCGTCAAATCTGCGAAATCTATCTTAATCTAGTTTCTTTAAAACGTTTTTTTTTTAATTAGAAATAGGGTGATAACCGAACACACAGTCTACCTGATAGTAAGTGGATGATGTGGCCTATAGACATCTACATTTAACTTCGATTGAGAATCAAAATGCTGATGCGTTGTCACCCCTGAGGACTAACATGGAATGCCTCGATTCCAGTAAAACGGGTCTCCGGTTCTCTCTCACCGTACGAAACACAGTAGCATTAAGCTACCATTTTACGCTGGTATTTTGTGAGAGTGTGGTCCATCTCCAGTCGAGCCGACCTTTCGTACTAAAACCATAATATAGCTGCAGCGTGGCTCTACAGGAATTATACCAGTATCATAAAAGTGTTAAACATAAATTGCTCATAAGTAACACCTGAATCAATGACAATCATTTGTTGACCATAAAAACTTGTTCGGTACGGAAAACGAACCCACGACCTACAATGCCATATGATGACGTTAAGTACTACGATCGTCAATTTGTCCACAATGACGGTAAGAGTTACAGCTATAATCCAACTCTTTGGGACAACTACAATGGTTCTTACCCGCCGATGACGACGGATCTAAAATGGGAGTGGCCAATATCAAGTTACAGAATTATAAAAATATATTTTACATTTAAATTAGCTATATTGTAAAACTTAATTAGATTATTTATAATATATGCATTTTATCAGCAAAATAACTGCGTTAAGTTATTTA